ACCAAGTGAACCTCAGAGTTCTAATTGTTTTTCGTTGTTTAGGCCACAGGTTCAATTTATTGAAAATGGGAGTCGTTTAATGTCAACTAAGTCATCCATGAAGAAGAGATGAAAACAGTTTCAGATTTCCTAATGTTCATAAGAGAGTAGTCCTTTAAGCCATTTGGCATCTGTGAGAAAGAGAGAAAAAAGACACTGTTGACCGAGTCCAGATAACGTCAATCTATAAGGTGTAAAAGTGTTGGAAATCGGAAGATAACAGGCCGCAGTGCGGAAAGTCTTGGAAGTCACGAGAAAACAAAAAGTGCCGATAAAATAAAATGAGTTGAATAAAATACTCATCGATCAAAAATTTCCAAATTCGAACATGAAATCAACCTCAATGTTCCACCATTTATTGATAACTTGTTTGAAAGCATTTTTATGCAATACTCACAACCAAATGCATAAACTGTGAGCAATACATAGAATTCGAAGCAGTGAGATCCTCATACAGACTACAAACCACAAATCCAGTGTCGATGGTTACCAAATTTAGTGCAATGCTCAAGAAATCCACTGTTTTAAACAAGTATCATTGTTCTGCTGTGTAATATAAGGATTCTCTGCCAAATTCGTTTATGAATCCGTTCGTTGAAACCTTTGTTTATTGTAGAGAACACTGGATAAATCACTGAGAAAAGATCAAATTTTATAAAGTGACTCAGAGCTCTGTGTTTTAAAGGTCTTACTCATGCGCGTGAAAAACTCTTACGGAGTATCTCAGCATATCTTTAACTGTCTTGTAAACGGCGGCGTTAATTATTGTTTTTGTATATCGGGTAGTATAAATTGATGGTCAGCCGTTCGCAAAGCTTTGTAATTATGTTGGAAACGATTCATCACCAATCGGGATGATAATATCAGTGCAGTGACAGCTAAGTATCATGAAAACCCTATAATAATGTGGATCAAACCAGACACACTAGCTGCAGAAAGGAATAGAAAGGCGTAAAATATAAAGGAATGGGAAACACAGATGGATTTTACCAGTGATTCAAACTTCCCTTCCTCCTTTATTAAGCAATGCTTATTATTATTATTACTATTATTATAGTAAGAATCCTGACAGGAATCTTTAGTTTGCGAAGATTGTGCTGAAAACCATTTTATCACACCCACACTTTTGTGAAGCATCTCGCGACCACTTGAATGTATGATCGTGAAATTTCTTATACATGTGTATTATGTCATTACTCTAATGAGGGTCATATTTAGGCGTTTGCATTGATATTCCAGAATGGATACTCGGAGCGCTTGGTGGAATCTGTGCTTCAATGACGAGAGGCGTTTCCGAACGGGGAAGGTGGTCAGAAGAAGCCTGTGTACATTTCTTTACCATCTAAAGGCGACATTTCGGCAGAGATTGTGCATAGAAGACTATCAACATCAACAGCATCAACAAAACGTTCTACGGAGCTAAGCTCAAAACTCGATTCCCATATAGCCTGTTGATGTTTCTACGGTGAAGGACAGGCTGCTCGATTCTGCTGCCTCTTCCTGTATTTACACTTCCTCTTACCCCTGTGGAGTAATATATGTGGGCCACCCGAGGAGGCATCTGACCGAGCGCATCCGTGAGCATCACCTGCGTCGTTGAGAAGTGTAGTAATTAAGTCAACCACAATTGCGGTTGTGTAGCACCTTGCCGACGCTAATCACATCGTAAACGTGACCGAAGCGATCCGACACTTATACAGAGTCAAGATATGAGCGGTTTCGCATTCTAGCCACAGCGGACGCAGTTAGTGCCCGTTTTCAAAAACCCCTCTGTGGGCTCAGAAACAATTAGTGCAAGCACCCAAGCTCCCAAGATTGGATCGCTTTCAAGTGACCCGTGATGAAACATCGGAGTAAATGCTACTAGGGGACCAAATGTGATACAAAACGTTGAGTGCTTTAATTACTTTGTTTCCCTTTTTTCCTTGTCTATCCTTATATATAACTCGTCAGGTGTATATTGTGTTGTAATGGCATGATTAGGACACACTGATAATGAGCTTGTTTACCAATTTGTGTTATCAAGAGTTGATTACTTCATGACTGATTATCATGAAGTCTGATATATGGTTCCAGTACGCCTACAGACAGAATGATAAATCAATCATGTGCTGATTAATTCTCAGACTGTCTTCTTTTTCAGCTTGTGCATTTCATTGCGTACGCTAAATCTCAGGTTGTGTATGACTACAAAAATTCAGTCATCTGCATTCGCGCTACGTAAGATTTTCCATATGTTGCTACCTTTCCCTACCATTTTTTTCTCATGCTTATCCCCGACCCCCTATCTACACGTATGCTGACTGAGAAAAATGCCGACTGTACAACATCGTCTTGTTTTCTTTCACGACCAAGTGAAAAGCTCAGCTCAGTTGAACTGGCCCTTCGTTATATGTCAGCAATATTATAAAATTTGCTCAATAAGATTCAGAGGATTTTATTGTTCGTTCACTGGGGTACCTGTTATAGATGTTTCTCGACAAATTCCGAAAGTGAGGATATCGCAACCTTACTTACTTACTTACTTGAGATAAAATTAAATTTTATATGTCGATCTGTAACTCCGCCTATGACGTGAGCACAAAATTCGTCGAGTATGTGCGTTGTGAGAAACCGCAAAAAAGTAGCAAGCGTCGAAATAAATTATTTAATTTAAGAAACTTCTTAATCACAACTTAATTGGAAGGAAACGAAAGTAATTGATGTGTTTGAATGTGCAAGTTATATGACCTAGAAGAAGTGTATACTACCTTTCTGTTTGTCTTACATAACTTCGACGGTCCTCCGATAAAAACAAGATGCTTCTTTTTCGAATTGCTCTGCCTCATTTTACTTAGGGAGACCCACGTGCAACAAATTGTGAGACTGCTTTCCATCTGTACTTCTGTAGAACAGATGTGGAAAGTATCATTCAGAGCATCATGCAGACAGCATAAGTGTTCGTTAATTCGGTTTGCTGTAGTCCATTTTGTTCGACGGTCTCGAGCTGATCTGGACAATCACTCAAACTTTATGATTCGTCTCACACTACAACGGTAGGAGCAAAGACCCTCACTGTCACGTGTGTCACCGTTGTGGTTCAAGTCTATTGTTCGTGTGACAGTTGACACCTGCTTGTATTCCTTCTTATTGTGATTAGTTCAACTGCTTGTTCACACTTTCGTCAATGTTCAAATGGGGTGCACGTTTGCACCTGACTGAAAGTGCCCAGAAAACAGTGACTTCAAATCAGTCGTTTTGGAATGTAGGTTCCTTCTCGTCTTGTGAGAATTTTTGGTCAAAATGTGTTCTTCATAGAGAATAAAACCGAGTATTTCCTATTGAATATTGTATCACTACCATTGAATCTCTATAAACCTTCAGATTTTCTATAAAAGATGGATTCTGACTTGGTACCACTCGCGTCAGATTATACCTTCCGACTGGTGCTGCCAGTTTGCATTCTAACCGGTATCCGGACCCTATCTTTACATCTGTTATCCTTTGTACATGGAGGGATATTTTATTTTTTCTATCATTGAATACTTTATTAAACGTTTCTTACGAAACAAATGGAATTCGATCGGATGTTTTCCCTTCTTAAAATCGTTTTCGTGGTCTAATTATGTTGGTGAGCTGGTAGTAAATAAAGTGTGCACGAAGCAAGCGGTTGACCTACTTCAATATGTTCAGTGCTGTTTGTTTTTTGCAAGATAGCACTATCTTGTTTTTTGTCTCCGAGCCTCGAGGACAATAGATTGATAATTAAAAGTTTGGATTAACTTATCTAAAATGCAGGGATTTATAATGTGCTTTAGGAAAGATGTTTAAAACAGCTCCATTGACCGTAAATTTGCATTAGTGACGGAACGTACTCAAATTGATACTTTAAGTGGGTGTGTGACTCGTTATGAAATCATTCAGATTTCACTACAGTAAAACCGTATTTTCTATACACATTTAGCAGAATCAAACATGTTATGCCGTAAAGGTTATCTTGAACAACTGACGAACCATTGCTTTACTCAGTTTTTCGGTTTTCGCTACATGAGACCAAACACAGTAACGCAAACGGTTTAACGAATAATTTGTAATCTTTTTTTTCAAATTTCATGACACAAAATGGTGATGATTGCGAATAATTTGCGCCTTCGTTTGCTTGATCAATTCGAAAATGCATCTGAAATTGTGTGATGGCATTCAAGTCCATGATCAGTTTACCCAACTATTTTTCATAGAAGACATCAGTTAGGATGTTGCATCATTCTACTTCTCCAAGGTGAGCTTGTCTCCACGCGGAAGCGCACCCTCAAGGAAAACATAAGCAAAAGTTGATCCAGATGGAACAAAGAAGCTGGTTATCCCGTGCGCTGCACCATCGGGTTAGTGGCGAATAAAATATCGCTACCTACAATGATGCTGCAGTCCACTAGAACATTCAAAGTTCACTTTTATGTAACGTACTTATCGATCGGTAAATTCATTAACTGATAGTTCCTCAAATTTGTTGATGCTGAAGAGCAATCATTATAATCATTGGTGACATTTATTCTTCCAACAGTGGTATAAAGTAGCCTAGCTGCCGGTCAGTTGACAAAAAACGAGCTTCTCTGGCGGCCAGATGCCACACCACCCCCAGAAAGAACAGAAATTGTCAGAAAAGAAATGTTTATGTACAGAATTGAGTGGATTCATTTTTTCGAAAATGTTCAATGTATGCGAAAATATGTAAGTATATATGTACACAGAGAGACGGTCAAATGTTCTCAGTTTTGTTAACACATACCCTTCAGAAATTTCCATCTTCCACTGGAACGGGTGATATATATATGTATATATATATACATATATACATATATATATATATCTGTATATATGTGTGTGTATTTGTGAAGCGGAGCAGAACAATCGAGTGGAGCACAGTCTTCTTGTGGAGAGTGCTAGGTTTGGTCAGTTTGAACCGGGAGGGTGGGACAGTAATTTCAGGTGCAACCAAAGCAATGCTGAGAGAACAGTTTGCGTATATCAGCTCGGAAGTTTGGATTCATAAACCCGTACACGATCGGATTAATCGCATTATTGACGTAATACAGATAGAACACGGGCAGATACAAGGTGATCAGTTCACTGGCCATGAGCATTGCGGGGATAAAGGCCACGATGTAGACAACGGCGACCACGAACAGCATGGCCGCTGTTTTCAAATTCTGAAATGTAGTCGAATCAGCCAAATGTCTCCTGGACAGTCTGGTTCGTTCCCCGTTTATAATGCACGATCGGCCTTCCGGTTCGATAGGAACCTGGTTTGCTCCGGAAGATAATTCTGTTTGAATGGAAATTTTGGGGGTTTGGTTTACCGGAATTGGTTTAGGCACCGAAATTCGGGACATTTTTGGTCCGCTTTCTTCCGACTGGCCAATATTTGAAAGTAATTCTTCTCGCTCCGCCAGAGGACAGGTTCTATCAGTGGCAGTGTCGTCCTTTTCCACAACCAGCTGAACAGAAGGGACAGTTGGGGAACGCATGTAGTTCAACTGAAACGGATTATCTTTTACTCGCTGTGGGTTGCTGTTAGGCTCAAGTTCCTCGGATTTTATCGAGTCGATTTGTCGCGTACGATTGTGAACTGTGAGCAATTGATTATTCTGACATTTCTCGCCATTGCCATTGACGATTTCCGGTTCAAATTGACTTTGGGGGAGGTTTTCAACTCGCGTGATAGGACTTTTGGTGCGGTAACCTTTCAATTGTTTCCGTTTTTTAAAGACCTGCAACGTTTGAAAAAAGTATGCTCGAAAATAGAAATCATTGATTAAAATGTTTCACGAGACACTGCAAAAGTCACTAAGAACGGTATTTGGATAATATCTTTCTCTGTTTGGCTCAACAAAGCTCATCGATAACGGGGTTAAAACTGCTGACTTTCTTTTTAATACTCTAATTTTGTCCTTGATGATTGATTTGATGCCGTAGGTTGTTGGATATCATACTTGAAATGTTACTTAGCAGCTCCATACAAGTCCATTTAGTCGGAATTTGATTAGGCTAACTGGACCGTGTATATGTGCATTTTGGGAATAATTTACGCGTAACCAGAATGTGAAAGTCAATGTTCCGTTTCAATGAATCTTTGGCATTTTTTTCTTGCCTCAAAGCAAAATCAAAGCAAATGCTACTCACCCGTTAATTTTAAAAATAAATGATCTTGTTTGATGCTCCAGGGGCGTGGTCCTTAACAAAGAAAAGTTACCAACTAGTGCATAGCATGGAAAACAGTAAAACACAGTTTTCCGGAAGCCAATATAACTTGGGTGTAAACAAGTACTGTACGATAAGCTTTTTCTATCCCTATGGTTAGGAGAAAGATGGATTTAGCTATGAATGCTGAGATGTGTACTATATCTGTATTCAAGTCAGGTTTTGTCAAATCGCACTGATTCGCAAAAGTCGTAGAAAATGTATATTTATGCTGTGAAATATAATAAGCATCATTTATGAAAAGTCACGGGTGTGTGCTGAATCTTCAAAGGAGAAATTTGACAGCTCTAACATTCCGTGAACAGTTTCCTCTAAAGTTAATTCCCTAAATCGATATACCTAAACAAGAGAACTGTGTGGGCTCGTGTAGACTTACATATAATTCAACTAAACTATGATAACCAAGCGTTTTCTTACTATTATGCGGTCATAAAGTGTTAAATTTGCACCTGTTATATCTATTCCGAAGCAATAATGCAAGTTATGGATATCCCCTCCCCTGTGGGAGAACGCTTTTAACAACTTTTACCACCAACACAAAGTGTCGAGGCCTAAGTAAACGGAATGAACGCAGTTATGTTCGAATTTCACACACTATCACTTTCCACCCTTCTCATCTCTTATGGTTCTTTCGTTCCCTCTGGATTACACTAGCACATTACGTCGGTTCAGTTGTGCTAACTGCTTTGGTTGTCATACTAGTAAATAAATCCTAATTGGGAACATCCAAATAATTTGTTAGGTTTTCTTTTTTTCTTTGGAATGGTGCACCAAGAGGTATAAATCAACCAATCAACCAACCAACCAAAGCAGCGACCATGAATAGCTTTTATGCTGGCCATGGACATTAATCCAAGCACTTCTTTGACTTCCCATTCACTTTACATTCGAAATATTCAACTTAGCATTACAATTTTCCAATTACTAGACACCGGATGTGCTGTAAACGATCATGTGACGCAAAGTTGTCAAAAATGACGGCTTATCATCAGCCCCGTCAGTCATTTTGTTTGGGCAACTCGGACATTTCAGACGCCAGCTGTCGCCAACTGCGCATTGCGTACGATCATACGGGTGGTTGCGAAACAGCCCTGTTGTCCCTTTTTTCGTTTGGGAAATAAGCGCTACTGTGCTCACAGTTTGGCAGGTAAACACTTATGGATTGATTGAATTAATGCCGACATTCATTCCTAACTTTAAACCTATGGCGCACCGATCCACAAAATACAGTTAACCGTTTTTGCTTCTTCTTGCCCAATCAGACTCATATGCGACCTTCTCCGATAAGCATTCAATTTAATAAGGGAGATAAAAGTAGTTGGGTAACCATCACGTATCATTTCAAAAACGAAAACATAGTGACTATAAGCGTAGTATTCATATTCTTCTCCCGTGGATGGTGCTCGCTAATTAAAAGTAACGTAAATAATCTCTCATCTGAAGACTGTGTCACTTTGGTTAGAAATGCATCTGTACATGACGGTGGATCGGTCTGTTTCACCGAAAGATTACGGGATTTAATTTAAATTTATCCCTTGCATTACTGAAGGACACCGCTTCGTTCAGATTCACCTAATATTGATCAATCCAGAATACGTTCAACAGTTCAGATCAGAACATCTGAGATCAACAAACAGACGAGAAAATGTCAAATGTGTAAATCCAGTGCAAAATCTATGATAAGATAATCGATTACAAAGGTAAAAACACAATTATGAGAAAAATTGATTTTTGATAATTCACGAAATAGGTAATGCATAGGTAATGTAAATGGCATAGNCTTTCCCCAACGGTATGAAGGTAATCATGCAATCCCGTTTTAATCCGGACGGAAGCGTTTGTACGAGAAAAACTAGAAGGATACATTGTGGAGAGAGGGAGGGCCATATGGAGCTAACCGCTTAAGCTGCAGTCAGAATATGAGATAAAATCCGTGACGGCGAACACGATTGTGGTTGTCAAATTCTTCAATATTACGCAATACTTCGATAGCTTTGACAAGGTATTGTATATTGGCAGTCAGGTCAGATGATACAGACAGATTTTGAGGCATTTCTGCATCACAATGAGAGATCATTTTGGTCACGTGTACATTAACAGAGCAAATTCTCCTAATTCCTAAGTTGAATTATCTTTCTTATTCCAAGGAGCGATCGATTAGGAACCGAAGAAAACATATCGATTCACTCAGG